CATCTCAATTTCTGTAATATGGCTTCCATTCTATAAAATGAGACCAGGAAAACTAGAATACAACAATAAATACCATACGAAAATAGAGTGCAAAGTCGCTGTTTTATCCCCCCCCCCCAAAATGGTCAGTTTTTTTTTTCTCATTATGCACTGTGTGCTGCAGGATTTTTTTTATACTGTGCACACTGACCACATAGACCCATTCTTTCATATGTAGGCCTACCAGCTTTCTCCCACTAGATTTGAGGGCGCTAGAATTTAGGCGTACTAGTACGTCAAAACCCCTGGGTCGTAAGCCGTACTAGTACGGCCGAAACCCTCAAAGGGTTAAGAAAGTAATAAAGGTGTACCTTAGCGAAATAAGTGAATAAGGTACTTCCGAGATATTGGCTTTAGTGCCCCCCCCCCCCCCGTTTCGAAAAAAAATTAGCTAAAATCACGTTTATTTCAGTGTATTTCTTAGTAAACTGATGTTCTAGTGCAGTTATCCTCTTCAAAACACCATTTTCTCTTATTCAAAGATGACATGAGAAGAGTAACTCATTCATATCAAAATATTCCCGATGGTCTCTCGCCATATTATGGCTTATTTTGTTCAGTCTTGATTATATAACATGTTTGTATGTTATTTATAGTGTTTATTATATAATATTAGATCAATTCTGATAGATAAGTAAGCCGCAGAGTTGATATATAAGCTGATATAAGCGTAATAATAGAGTGATTTCTCCTGGCTCTCTCTGGAGCGAGAATACTGCCGAGCATTCCCAGATGGTTCCTGATTGGCTGACACTCTACGGATAAGCTCCGCCTACTCTTATATGATGCCAAATAGTCAAATATTATATTAGGAAGAATAATGCAAGAAAAAGCGATAAAAAACAAGGAAAAAATTACAAAAAATATATGGGCTGTGAGCAGACGTGCTACCCATATCGCCATCACCATACCTGATATAAATGACTAATTTCTTGTAGAAACGTCGTAGAACATTGATTCTTGTACAATCGTGTTGCCAACGAGTTAAGTTATCTTTCTGTATATATAACTCAATTTCCATAATTTTTCAAATTTTTTTTGAGAGCGCGTGGAAAATTGCCTGGTCGCACCCTTAAGGAACTAGAGTGCTAAAAATATCTAGCATGGACAGGACTCGCAGCAATGGTTTTAAATTGGAAAAATTCAGATTCAGGAAGGATATAGGAAAGCACTGGTTTGGTAATAGAGTTGTGGATGAGTGGAACAAACTCCAGAGTACTGTCATAGAAGCTAAAACATTGTGAAGTTTAACCCTTTGACTGTTTTCGACGTATAAATACGTCTTACGAGCCAATGTTTCTGACGTATATATACTCAATAATTCTAGCAGCTTCAAATCAAGTGGGAGAAAGCTGGTAGGCCCACATGTGAGAGAATGGGTCTGTGTGGTCAGTGTGCGCACCACATAAAAAAAATCCTGCAGCACACATTGCGTAATGAGAAAAAAAAAACTGATCGTTTTTTTGGAATAAAACGCCGACTTTGAGGTGTATTTTCGTATAGTATTTATCGTTGTATTCGCGTTTTCATGGTCTTAGTTGATAAAATGGAAAACATATTACAGAAATAGAGATGATTTTCATTACTTTTACGATGAAAACGACCTTGAAACTGAGCTCAAAGTAGCGGAAATGTTCGATTTTTACCAATGTTCAAGAGTAAATAAATCACACCACACGTCCAATACACGTCAACTGGGGAGTCTAATATTCTTTCACTAGTGCACTGATATTATTTATACCATTTTTACAATAATGCAGTCGTCTGCATAACAGTAAATTTTGTATTTTTTTGTATGAATAAAAAATCAAAATAGAAAGCAATAATAATATAAGAGGGGCCTAGAGATGTGACTAATGAACAGAGCATATGTTATTTTAGTGCCACGAATGTCTACCTTGTTTATTCTGGACCCTATTTTGAAATTGGCATCTTTCTTATTTTGCGTGAAATTGGCCAAATTGCCAATTTCTGACCACCATGTTGGGTAGTCCAAATTAGTAAATGGGAGGTTTCTTGGGCTCAGCTGATAGATAAAATGGAGTTCTAAACAAATAGCTATGAGTTTGGTCAACTGGAACAATGGAATTGGCTGAAAATTGGGCTCAAAGTCGGCAAAATCGCCGATACGCATATGTCGCCGAGACCGCTAACTTCGCGGGAGCATAATTCCACGAGTTTTCGACCAAATTTCGAACTTTTGGTGTCATTACCATCGGGAAAAGATTCTCTATCATTTCATAAGAAAAAAATAATTTTTTTTTTTTCAAAAATTGAGCGACAGAATGAGAGTTTCAGAGAGGGGCCTGAAACAGTCAAAGGGTTAAAAATAGGTTGGATAAGTACATGAGTGGGTGTGGGTGGGTGAGAGTTGGAGCTGACTAGCTTGTGCTACTAGGTCGGATACCATGTTCCTCCCTTAAGTGAATGTGACTGACCGGACTAGGTCAAGGCATTGGCTTAACCCTTTGACTGTTTCGGTCGTATATATAGGTCTTACGAGCCAATGTATTTGACATACATATACTAAAAAATTCTAGCGGCTTCAAAGCAAGCAGGAGAAAGCTGGTAGGCCCATATGTGAAAGAATGGTCTCTGTGGTCAGTGTGCACCATATAAAAAAATCCTGCAGCACGTAGTGCATGAGGAAAAAAAAATTGACCATGTTTCTGGATTAAAACGCTGACTTTGAGGTGTATTTCTGTATAGTATTTATAGTTGTATTCTCGTTTCCTTGGTCTCATTTGATAGACTGGAAAACATATTATAGAAATAAAGGTGATTTTCATTGGTTTTACTATGAAAAGGACCTTGAAATTGAGCTCAGATTAGGGGAAATGTTTGATGTTTGCCGATGTTCAAGAGTAAACAAATGATATCATTGTGCAATAAATGTCCAACTAGCCATTCTAATATGCAGTCATGAATGGGTTAACATTATTTATAAAATTATTAAAATATTGCAGTAGACTGCATAACAGTAAATCTTCTATTTTTTGTTTGAATAAAAATTCAAAATAGAAAGCAAGAGTAATATCAGAGGGGCCTGAAGACATGACTGATGAACAAAGCAAATACTATTTTAGAGCCAGGAATGTCTGCATTGTTCATTCTGAACCCTATTTTGAAATTGGCATAATTTTTAATTTGCACAAAATTGGCCAAATTGACAATTTCTGACCATATTATTGGGTAGTTGAAATCAGTAAATGGGCAGTTTCTTCTACTCAATCAATAGAACAAATGGAGTTCTAAAGAAATAGCTATGAATTTGGTCAACTGGAACAATGGAATTAGCCAAAAATAGGGCTCAAAGTGGCCGAAATCTCAGATTCGTAAATATCGTCGAGGTCGCTAACTTCGCGAGAGCGTAGTTCCCTAAGTTTCCCATCAAATTTCGTACTTTTGGTGTCATTACCATCGGGTAAAGATTCTCTCATTTCATAAGAAAAAAAAATTTCCAAATATTTTGTGACACCAGGAGACACCTCAGGATTTGGGGTTGCGACAGTCAAAGGGTTAAGCCATTGGGAGAATTGGACCTGCCTTGCATGGGCCAGTAGGCCTGCTGCAGTGTTCTTTCTTATGTTCTTATGTACTAAAAAAATCCTGCAGCAAGCAGTGTACGAGAAAAAATTGCGACAGTGTTTTTGGTTTAAAACAGCAGCTTTGCTGTGTATTTTCATATGGTATTATGGTTGTATTCTCATTTTCTTGGTCTCATTTGATAGCATGGAAAATATATTACAGAAATAGAGGTGATGTTGAATGGTTTACTGACTAACGGTAGCTTAACATTGAACTCAAAGTAGTGGAAATTTTCAATTTTTGATGATGGTCAAGAGTAAACAAATCATGTCAAGCAACCAATGCATGTCAACTGGTGGGTCTAGCACGCATTCACGAATGTGCTGATATTATTTATACAATTATCATAATTATGCAGTAGTCTGAATAACAGTAAATCATCTATCTTTTGTGTGAATAAAAATTCAAAATGAAAAGCAAGCACAATGAAAGAGGGGCCTGGAGACCTGACTAATGAACAGAGAAAATGTTATTTTAGTGCCAAGAATGTTTGCATTGTTTATTCTGGCCCCTATTTTGAAATTGGCCTTTCTTGAATTTTGTGTGAAATTGACCAAATTAGCAATTTATGATCACTTTTTTTGTATAACTGAAATAGGTAAATGGGTGGTTTCCTGTACTCAATCGACAGAATAAAAGAAATTCTAGTGAAATAGTTATGAGTTTGGTCAAGTGAAATAAAAAAAATTGACCCAACTTACAGCTCAAACTGGTAAAATCGCTGAAGTGTAAATATCGCGGAGACCCCTAACTTTGTGAGAGCGTAATTCAGTAAGTTTTCCATCAAATTCTGAACTTTTGGTTTCATTACCTTCGGGAAGATTCTCTATCATTTTATTAGATTTTTTTTTAAATTCTTCGACCCTATGAGCAAGTTCGCAAGCAGGAATCTCAACAATTAAAGAGTTCCAGAAGACATATCCTACCTCAAAACCATCATAACTCAAATGCCAAAATACTTGGTTTTATGGTAATTTGTTTCAAAGCCAGACCACACCCAACCTGCCCTTGGACACTTTTTTGTTGTTTAAACAATCAGAGTTTTCCGATTTGCAAATGTGCATGGGGAGGGATGGGGGGGGAAGGGAACAAGGGAGGGAAGCAGTCCAGAGCAGAATTTTTTATACTGTGCACACTCACGTCCAATCCAAAATTTACCACTCATAGTTTATATAGCTGAGCTCAAAACCTAGATTTACTTAAGCAAACCTGGTGTGAATAACATAAATCTATGTACAAGACAACGAAAGGGTTGTTACTTAAGTGTTCAGAGTGGAGGTATCCAATTTTTGGCTTAATAATATTTGGATTAATGGAATCTGACTAACAGTATTTGTCTAGAACAGTTTATGAGACTGTACTGAGTTTGGCAAGTAATCAGTATTCTCTCACAACCTTATATATACCTCATCAATGCCACAGCCAAGACAACACTTACCTAATTCTGAATTATCTTCACTGTTAGGCCTGTATGGGCGGTCTCTTGGTGGTCCGCGTACTTGTGTGTTCCTGAGTGCACGCGGAGTAAATCCACCTCCAGACTGGGGCTGATTCTGAACAGGATTTGCACTAGCTGCTGATGTAGCCCGGATGTTTACTTCTCGATTCTGGAATTAAAATAGTGAAAACCAACAAAAGTGACCTGATACAGGATTTAAGACAACAACAGAGCAATGGGTGACATAGAAGTAGCAGCAAGGAGTGCATATACGACCACAGCAAAAGAACAGATTGAAAGAAATGAGACCCCACATCGAGGACAGGAAACTTGGAGGCCTAAGATGATGGAGGTGATCTGAGAAAACTTTTCAAGTCAGCATGTTAGGGACATGACAAGGGAGAGATGAGCCAGCAAGGCTGGATTAAAGTATTTAGTGCAAGTACGTCTGATATAAGTGAAACAGAATTTGAGAGCCCCCAGGGCACTAGTTATCATACAATCGTGAACTTCAAGTGCCTAACAGAAGCAAAAGTAGGTTGTCTGGTAGGTAGACCCAGAGGGGGGTCCACCTACCTGGGGGTTGAAAGAATTTCTCAATGCAGTGAAGTGGTAGAGAGGTGAAACGAAAGTCAGTAGATGAAATAGAATACCTAGGTTGAAAATGCAAGGAAACAAGAGACCTTCATACCAAGATATGGAAACAACAAATTCAAAGCGAGCCCTTGCATCACCCTGAGATGAAGAGGAGAGAGAAGAGAGAAAATAAGAGCAAGTGAAAAAACTACAGAAAGCAAAAGACAGACAAGAACAGAGAAGTGAGCAGATTGGCCAGAAACAAATATGCTAGGGTGAAGAGAGAATGACACAGCAGCAAAGACCAAGTTTGGACCAAAACTGCTTCAGAGCCACATCCAAAGAAAGAGTGCAGTAAAAAGCTAGATAATGTGACTGGAGGAGGAGATAATGAACAATGACAAGTAAGTCTGTGACATTTGATCTAACGATTTCATCAGGTCTTCTCAATGGAAATGAGCAGTACCTGAACAACTAGGGGATAGGGTGCACTGACAAGTACTAGATGCCTTCCTCAAAACAGGGGGAGAGGTAAAGAAACTTTTGATGGACCTGGATACACCAAAGGCAACGGGACCTGACAAGGTGTCACCATGAATTCTGCAAGAGGAAGCAGAAGCATTGTCTGAACCACTAGCTACGATATAAAACAAACAAAGAAGCAGTTTCATAAATCATAACCAGAAAGGGTTCAAAGATGGCAAATCCTGTCTAACCAATTTACCAAGTTCTATGATAAGGTAATAGATGTGAGACAGAAGAGGGAAATGACTGGATTATATTTTTCTTAAAACTGTAAGGCAGCACATAATACTGTGCCCAAAACTCCAGAATAAGGCAAGAAAAATTAATGAACAAACTCTTGTTAGAACAAAGGGTACCTTAGGGTAAAAAAAAAATCAATATTATTGTCAGGGAAGATAGGGCAGATTGGAGAAGAGCAACAAGCAGGCTCTGTAAGGATCAGTATTAAGACAAGTACTGTTTCTGGTTGTATTAGAACCAGTACTGTTTCTGGTTTATGTGAATGACATTCTGAATGGGAATGGTTCAGATGTACCACTGTTTGCTGATGATGTAAAACCAATAAGAAAAACAGATAAAAACTAGTCTCTAAATGACTCTGGACAAACTGATACCAATCATACCAGTCTTTGCTTGAATCTAATTCCAGTAAATGTGAGGTAATGAAGATTGGGGAAGGTGCAAGAAGACCGGAAAAAGGGCAAAGATTCAGGACACAGAGGCTGCAAACCTCACTGAGACCTAGGGGTGAACATAATATCTGGTATAGCACCAGAGACTCACACCAGCTGAATAACCTCTGCAGCCAATGCTTGTCTTGCAAATCTAAGAGCCTTCAGGAATCTCTAGTCATTACAGGCTCTTTATATGCCATACAACAGATTCATTTTCAAGTATGCAGCACCAGTATGGAATCTTCACCTGAAAAGTAAGTTAAGAAACTGGGGAAATTGCAGAAGTACGCAATGAGGCTTGTTACCAAGCCATAGAATATGACCTACAAGGAAGTTAACAGAAATGGATCTATTGACAATGGAAGACAGAAGTACCATGGGAGACAACATACAATATACTCAAGAGACTTAGATAAAGTAGACAGGGACAGACTGTCGAAAAGCGATAAACAGGTACCTGGGGAGGGGAGAGGGGAGGCAGCTGCCAGTGAAAGTCAAGAGCCCAAGGCAACCATGAGCCAGTGGAGTGGCTCATGGTTTATTATCCAAAACTCATTGAGTTTTGGATAATAAATAAAGTCAAAATTTCCTGTGCTCTTGTCCAACTCTTCTCAGATTCATCGTTTGACTAGGACCTCAGGACAAGCATCATGCTATTTCTCCTGAATTGTTCACAAGCACACATTCCTATCATTTTTCTTTGAAGAAACTGTTTGCAAAAAAAAAAAAAAAAAAAAAAATCTAACTTACTTTAGACTATATATAGCCCTAGGTAAGAAAAATTTAGTTTGTAAGGACCCTATTTTGATAAAGAGTACTACCAATGGCCATCATTTAGCAACCTTCATTTTGGACCTCCATATGTCCTGGGCCAAATTCAAAGGTAAAAAATGGAATGGCAATTAATATATACTAACAACTTGCTGATTCTGTTGTGGTACAGGTGGTGCTGACTGTATAGAAGGCTGCTGTGATGTAGATGTAGGTGGTGGTGCACCAGTAAATCCTTGAGTGCCCTTGAACAAATTTGCAAATGTTTTGGGTTCATTTGAGACTGCTTGCTGAACTGGATCAGGCTGGGGAGGGTCTGGATCAGGAGTTTCCTTCTGTGGAACAGCTGGCTCATCCCAGGTTCCCTGGGGCTCTGCAGAGCCACCCCAACCATCAGAGCCAGGAGTACCCCAACCTTGATCATCCTTTAATGAGAAAATTGACCTTAATTTTAATTACTGTTTAATCAAAACCATTACATATACCAATTACATCCATAACACCATCACATATTTCAGTATAAAAATAAAATGGCATAATTATTAAAACAATAAAACTTACTTTTTCAGGTGTTGGTGGGGCTTCTGGTACAGTTTCTGTTACAGTTGGTGTTGGTGGTGTTGGGGATAAGGGAGGAGCAACAATGGGTGTAGTGGTTACAGTAGATGCAGAGCTTCCACTAGCTGGCACTTGCACAACCTAAATAAAATATAATTGAATAAAAAACTGAAACATCCTTGAAAATACTATGTACTTTTTTCTTCTTCTTTGAACAAACCGGACTTATCCCACCGAAGCAGGGTGGCCCAAAGAGAAAAACAAGTTTCTCTTTTTAACTTTAGTAATGTATACAGGAGGAAGAGTTACTAGTCCCTTGCTCCTGGCATTTAGGAAGAATTCTGTTCCACTGTCCCATGGGTCTAGATAAGAGGAAATAAACAAGAACAAGAACTAGTAAAAAAATAAAAGAAAACCCAGAGGGGTGTGCATATACACACTTGTACATGCATGTGTACTGTGACCTAAGTGTAAGTAAAAGTACCAAAACGTATCTGAAATCTTGCATGTTTATGAGACAGAAAAAAGACACCAGGAATCCTACCATCATGTAAAACAATTAGAGGCTTCCATATTACACTCACTTGACAGGACGGTAGTACCTCCCTGGGCGGATGCTGTCTACCAACCTACTACCTAGGAATACTTTATACAGTGGTCCCTCAATTATCGTCCTTAATTCGTTCCTGGAAGTGGGACTATTATCGAAATAGATGATTTTCGAATCAATTTTCCCCATAAGAAATAATGTAAATCCAATTAATTTGTTCCAGACACCCAGAAGTATCAACAACAATTTTTTTTTTACCTAAAAGATAGATTTACATGCACAAAAGAATGAACATTCAACATGAGTTACCTTTATTGAAGGCTGTTGTTGATGAATGGAAGACAGGGAGGAGGAGAGAGGGAAGAGAGGTTATTGTTTGGAAGGGGAATCCCCCTCCATAAGGACTCTAGGTCACTTCCCTAGCATAAATATAGATTTGTATGCAGAAAAAAAATGCCAAATAAATGTAAAGCACTAATAAAATGTATAAATGAACATTGGTAATAGGGGTAGTTGATGAGTGGAATGGTCTGCCTAGTAGGGTGATCGAAGCTAAAACATTGGGTAGTTTCCAATTTAGGTTGGGTAAATACATGAGTGAGAGGGGTTGGATTTGAGTCGGACTTGCACCTGAGCTTATTGCTTGGGTAGCATTTGTTCTGTTAGTGGGTTGGATTTGTGAAGGACCGGCCTAGTAGGGGCCAGCAGGCCTACTGCAGTGTTCCTCCTTTCTTATGTTCTTATTGGAGACTTGTTTGTTTGAGGGAGGGATGGCAAGTTTATTGTTGGAGAATATGACACTAATATCAACTCTACGGCTTATTTATCTATCACAATTCAACTAATATGACATAATAAACAATATTAATAACATAGAAACATGGAATACACTCTAGAATGAATAAAATAAGTCATTACATATGTCACGAGAGGTGTTGTGTTGTGTTGTTGTTGGGTATATAAGGGCTACTGAGATTAAGCCGTCCATAATGGTGGTGAAGCAGCAGCTGAGGCAGTGATGTTTTCTGTAGCCCTATATAACTCCAACAACATTGGAGGAGTTGGTAGAATCGCTGAATCACTAAAGAAGGAACCCTCTACCTCCATCACTACGACCTACCATTATTACAACTGTTACCACCATCACTACTACCTTCTACCACCATCACTACCACCATCAACCACTATCACAACTGCTTCCACTCTAACACCACCACCTTCGTATTTTTCTACAAACTTTTTCATAAATTATGTGTTTCTCACATTCTTTACCAAAGGGCTGGCACTAGAAGCTTTCTTTGGAGCCATGGTAGCTTATTTAGCACTTGCAAGCACTAAAATCAATGGAATATTATGAAATATTTCGTAGGAGCATGTGAGGGGACCGTCGCTCACTGGTAAACAATGGCACACTGGCTGGGAAGGCAGGCCCAGGCGGCTCAGAGCGTGAGTACGCATCCCGGACGAAGGACGATTAGCGAGTTAACAGACCATTTGCGAGCCAATGTTTACACGAAATAACGGGACTATTTCCGAAATGGACGACTTTCAGGCTGGATGATTATTGAGGGACCACTGTACATCTTTCTTCTTTCAACAAACCGGCTGTGTCCCACCAAGGCATGGTGGCCCAAAAACAAAAACAAAAGTTTCTCTTTTTAAATTTAGTAATTTATACAGGAGAAGCGGTTACTAGCCCCTTGCTCTGGCATTTTAGTCGTCTCTCACGACATGCATAGCTTAAGGAGGAAGAATTCTGTTCCACTTCCCCAGGGAGATAAGAGGAAATAAACAAGAATAAGAACTAGAAAGAAAATAGAAGAAAACCCAGAGGGGTATGTATATACATGATTGTACATGTATGTGTAGTGTGACCTAAGTGTAAGTAGAAGTAGCAAAATGTACCTGAAATCTTGTATGTTTATGAGACAGAAAAAAGACACCAGCAATCCTACCATCATGTAAAACAATTACAGGTTTCCGTTTTACACTCACTTGGCAGGACGGTAGTACCTCCCTAGGCGGTTGCTGTCTACCAACCTACTACCTAGGAATACTTTATACATACTGAATATATTTAAATGTGAAGTACAAGTCAATTAACTATAAAAAATTTATTAAAAACATTAGGTGCACATAAACAATACCAAATATTTCTAAATTTAAAATTATTGTATAATTTAACATATACAAATAAATATGTGAAGGGATTCAGGGAAACTGGTTAGCTGGACTTGAGTCCTGGAAATGGGAAGTACAATGCCTGCACTTTAAAGGAGGGGTTTGGGATATGGCAGTTTGGAGGGATGTGTAATAGGACAGTATATATATAATTGGGGCCCTGATATTATATTCTATATGGTAAATAGTATAGTTTATTATTTTAGGTCACTTTTTATATTGTATCTTTATATATGCATCTAAGCTGCTGTATCTGGGCACCTCTGCAAAAACAATGATTATGTATGAGTGAGGTGAAAGTGTTGAATGATGATGAAAGTGTTTTTTTTTTGGGGGGGAAATTTCTTTCGTTTTGGGTCACCCTGCCTAGGTGGGAGACAGCCGGCTTGTTGAAAAAAAAGAAACAAGAAAAAAAAAAAAGGAAAGGGGAAAGGCTTCCAGGAAAAGTAGGACTTGCACATGGATGTACATCATAATGGTTTGTAACAAATAACCAGCACTACTGGGATAGTCAGAAAATAAGAATAGCTGCAGAACCTGATCAAAGTTGTGAACTTTTACAATCTCTGCTGCTTCTCTTCAGTCTTCCAAAAGCACATTCATCCACAAGGAGCAATTACAGTATCTCCCATTTCATATCAAATTCATTATCTTTTAATCCCTCACTTTTTGAAGACACTTATATTCACTTCGTGACTCACGAAATCGTAATGACACGATTGCAAATAAACCGTAGCACGGGTGGGGATAGAACCCGCCATCAGAGTGTCTCAAAACTCCAGACCGTTGTGTTAGCCACTGGACCAGCTAGCCACAATAAGATTCGTCCAACTAGGTATATTTCTACACCATAGGAAGGTTAGCATAAGCACCACTGTGACCACAAATGCAAGCTTTTACAGACAAATCTCCAGCTAGCGTGGCCATGACGAACTCTAGCTCAAGTCCCCTCAAAGCCGTCAACATGACTCACGAAATATACCTAGTTGGACGAAACTTATTGTGGCTAGCTGGTCCAGTGGCTAACGCGACGGTCTGGAGTTTTGAGACTCTCTGATCGCGGGTTCTATCCCCGTCCGTGGTATGGTTTATTCACTTCTTTAACTATATTAACCCTTTGAGGGTCGACAGGCCCTCTCCGAAACTCGTTCTCAGGGTCGGCCAAATTTAAAAAAAAATTATTTTCTCTTATGAAAAGATAGAGAATCTTTTCCCGATCATAAAGACACCAAAAGTTTGAAATTTGATAGAAAACTTACGGAATTATGCTCTCGCAAAGTTAGCAGTCTCGGCGATGTTTACGCATCGGCGATTTTGCCCACTTTGAGCCCCATTTTCGGCCAATTTCACTGTACTAGTCGACAAAAAACATGAATATTTCGCTAGAACTCCATTTTTTCTATTGAATGGGTGCAAGAAACCACCCATTTATGAAATTCAACTATCCAGTACAGTGGTCGAATTTAGCAATTTTGCCAATTCTCACACAAATTTCAAAAGATGCCAATTTCCGAATAGGGTCCAGAATAAACAAGAAAGACATTCCTGGCACTTAAATGACATTTCCTCTAGTCATTAGTCACGTCTCAAGGCCCCTCTTATATTCTTTTGCTTTCCACTTTGAATTTTTATTCTCACAAAAAATATAAGATTTACGTTATGCAGACTACTGCATTAGTGTAAAAAATGGTATAAATATTATTGGTGCACTTGTGAAAGAATATTAGACTCACCAGTTGACGTGTATTGCACGCTTGGCACGATTTGTTTACTTCTGAAGTTTGGTAAAAATCGAACATTTCTGCTACTTTGAGCTCAATTTCAAGGCACCTTTCATTGTAAAACCAGTCAAAATCATCTCAATTTCTGTAATATGTCTTCCATTCTATAAAATGAGACCAAGAAAACTAGAATACAACAATAAATACCATACGAAAATACACTGCAAAGTCGCTGATTTATTCCAAAAAAATGGTTAAAGTTTTTTTTTTCTCATTATGCACTGTGTGCTGCAGGATTTTTTTTAGACTGTGCACACTGACCACATAGACCCATTCTTTCATATGAAGGCCTACCAGCTTTCTCCCACTAGATTTGAGGCCGCTAGAATTTATGCGTACTAGTACGTCAAAAACCCCTACGCGTAAGACGTACTAGTACGACCAAAACCCTCAAAGGGTTAAACCACCAGTGATATGACACATCCCCTTTACTGGAAATTACACCCTCTTCTCTTGTAAATACTCTAACCTAAGCCTCATTCTCCTCACAAGTCGGCAGTCTCCCACCGAGGCAGGGTGACCCAAAAGAGAAAAAAATCTCCAAAAAGAAAATACTTTCGTTATCATTCAACACTTTCACCTCACTCGCATATAATTACTGTTTTTGCAGAGGTGCTCAGAACATAACAGCTTAGAAGCATATACCTATAAAGATACACAACATATCCCTCCAAACTGCTAATATCCTGAACTGCTCCTTTAGAGTGCAGGCATTGTACTTCCCATTTCCAGGACTCAAGTCCGGCTATATAAAAATAACCGGTTTCCCTGAATCCCTTCACTAAGTGTTATTGTTATATTTACATATTACATTCATCTGCATAGAATATGTAAATATACAATAAACAGCTCCTTATCATGTATTAATGCCAACACTTGTCTCACATACAGATGCCTTTCTCTTCCTAAATACTCCTTGATCCTCTGTAATCCTATTTTCTAAAGTACACTTTACCTGGTTTACTCAGACCATAAGTAGGGTGGCCCAAAGAAGAAAACACATTCACTATCATTCAATCAATAGCAGTCTTCCCAGACATGAAGAGAGATAATTCTTTAAATGACCTTGCAAATTGTATCAGCCCCACAAACTGATCAGTGATAATAATGGACTTTCCATCTCCAGGCCTCAAGTCTGGCTAACCAGTTTCCCTGAATCCCATTCATAAATACTGTCCCACTCATAGTCCACAACACTTAAGTATTAATTCACTCCAATCAAACATGATCACACATGCCTGCTGAATACTCAGGTCACAACTACTAAAGAAGTTCCTTCACCCTTCCCAAAAACCCTTAATGGGATTTTTCACTGCCCTCTTTCCATCTTGTTCAAAATTTATACACCTAGGTCAATATTTTTTTCTCTACAATTTCTCAATGACTAAACCATCTCGACTTTCTTTAATTATGTCTTTTATATAACACATGATACTACGTAACTGTCCTGTACTCACCTCCCTCAATGTTTGTGGATTCTGGTTTCCCCAATCAGTCTGAAAAAATAGATAAATAAATAAATCAAACTAACTAAATTTTACAAACTGAAAAAAAAAAAAAAAGGTTATATGTGAAAATACAAGTAAGCCCAAAAGTATCTGCTACACATAGCTAATACATCTTTTCTTCGCTCCTGAGCATACATTCCAAGTAGAGTATTTCGTGGCATCCCCAGTCACTTGTATGCTTTACTGATTTTATGTAGACAGAACATGATATGTCAAACCTTTTTCAACACTGGACAATCATCTTAAGATTGTCAAGGTGAACTTCATAGTATCACCAGTGGCAGGTACTTTATTATATTCTCTAAATTTTAAGTAATCTGACAATTATAGAATACCCAAAACCTTTACATGTTTTCATTCTAAGAGAATATTTTCCAGTATTTTGTATCCAGTGCTACTTTTCAGTTCTTTACCCTTTCTCTAACTGAACAGTTGGCATAAATCCCCACTGAACATCATATGATTTTCCCCTTTCCCCAAAAA